TTGTTAATTGCATTCCCAAAGTGTAAACACTTGTAGAATTAATGCTAATTAAGGTCTGTTAAATGTGAAAAATAACCATAGTATTAGCTTCAAACATTCAATTCTGTTCAACAAAAATAAATTTAAGGTTTTAATATAAATAAATTAGGCATGGTAAACTAAGATTATTAAGAAATCAATTTATTTCCTTCCAACAGCGAACTTAAATGTAATTTTTCACTTACAATTTCATACTAAAGTTGCACTGTCGTTATATCTTTTGTTTAGATCACTTTAAAATATGAATTTTTTATGACAAAATTGGTTTGATTGAATTATCTTATATGGAAAGTCGAAAACAGATTTTTACTTGTTACGAAAAGTTAAAAATGCTGTTCATTAAAAAATTTTTGTCATAAATGAAGAATATGTACTGACAAAACCCGAAAAATTCGTTTTGATATCAAAGGTAATTCCTGTTTTGAAAGCCTGGTAAAAGTTAATTAAACAAAAAGGATGATTCGGCTTAAAACACTTTAAAAATTTATATTTGTAAAAAAGTGATATTATCTATTTCATAAGATTTCAACAACATAATATTTCGTTCTTTTTAGTTTCCACTATATATATGCAACACCATGATCAGTTTAAAAGTACAGTGTTATTAGATTTATAAATTGAAGTAATTATTTAATTAAACAAAAAATGTAAGAATTAATCAATAGAAAAGGTATTGTATATATAACTTAGGTAACTCGTCAAAAACTTTTGCAGTTTGGGTAAAACTTACTGCCACAACCATCATATATTCCAAAAAGTGGCCACTTCTGATTATTACTTGTTATCATGAATTTAGATCACTTATTTGTTAGCAAAGATTGTTATCATGGAATTGGACCACTTATTTGTTAGCAATAATCTGAAGTAAAATCATGCTGCTGTTACAAAGATGCACCGAAATGTAGAATGTATAATTCAATAAAGTGGTTTTAGGCTATGGGACAAGGTTGCCCACACCGTGAGGTCTTTCGTATGTATTAATGATTGTATTAATTAATGAGATTGTATTAATGATTTTAAAAGTATCGAAAATTTTAATATGGCAACAATTGAAAGCAACAAAAAATAAAAAGGTGTAGAACATTTATCAGATGAACAAATTCAACAAAAACGTAAACAACAACGTGATTTGTATCAAAAAATAAAATTAAATTCCAATATTTCATGTTGGGAAGGACAAAAGTAATATACATACGTACTCTTTCATATTAAACAATATATGTTATATGTGGTTTTAACATTCTCTACAAGAGACATCAAACATTTTTAAGAACTTCAAACTAGACCAAAATTTGATGTCTTCTCTTCAGAATGTTAAGAGCATATACATATTGTTTAATATGAAAGAGTACATATAAATATAACCGGTGTCCTTCTTCATGCAATTTCACTATTAAACATTGGCGTTTAATTTTATTTTTTTAAACAAATCACATTGTTGTTAACGTTTTTGTTGAATTTGCAGCTTTGATAAATGTTCCACATGTTTTCGCTTTCTTATTGTTTTAAATTGTTTCCAAATTTAAATCCCCCCAGTTATATAAAAACATTTTGATAGCATTTGCATTCTACCAATATAGTAATTATAAAACACAAATATCGTACATAAAATCACAGTTTTGGGTATAAAGAAATGATTGGAATTTTATGGTGCCATAATTTTTACCTACAGTATAAAAATAAATGGATTAAGAAAATGTATCTCAAAAGCGCCAACAATCCTCTGCATTGTGTTAACAATGCAAGGTATTTTTGAGATTACTTAACTGCTTACACGTACGATTTCTACTTCAGCCTGTGTACGTACTGTTGGCTACTGCAACTTTGGTCGTAAATAATTCGCCTGACACCGGAACAAAAGTTCGGCGTTGTATGTGCCGGTTTATCCATTCGCCTACCAAAAAGGCCATGTGCTCACACACATCTTGCACCAGCACCAGCACCAGGACACGGCAAACATTGGCAACTGTTTCATTACAATGGACACTTCATTTTGTTTATGGCCATGTTTACGTTTTGTAAAATGACGCTTTAAATGCTGCAGCAAATGACATGAACAGATTTCGCATAAAATTGTTGACATTTAATTGTTTACTTAAATCTTTTTTTATACTTTCTACTCTTTTACAGTTGTGGTATCACCCATTGTGCCAATGTACTAGGTACTAGGTACACGTAATTCCCATTTGTGCTGAAGCAAATTTTTCTTCTTGCCATTTTCTCATATGAGTGTGTGCAAATTTTAATAGCTTTTTCGTGGTCAATATTTAAGTGTGTAGTATGTTTCAGATATAAGTGGGTGTGGCAAAAGGCATTTAAAATTTTTAACAATTTGCGGTTTGTTGGGACAAAAATAAAAACAATATAAACCCCAAAGTCTTTGGGTGTGATTTGTTGTCACTAGAAATGTCACGCTAACATTAACATTTAGTTTGTCCAAATAAAAAATTAATTTGTTGGTTTTTGGCTTAACCAGAATGTGCACAGAAATCTATTCAATTTATAACGACAATATTTCCTTGGACCATGTGGCTTCCCGACATATTCAAAGTTAAAACAAGTTTTAGCAAATATTTAAATCATTTTTTCATATAACATTTTGTGTGCATAGCATGATTAATTGAATTTGGTAAATCATTTTTACACTCAACAAAAAATATAATTTAGAATAACAAATGTGTTAATTTAAATGTTTTGCATTAACAAATATGTATGCACAGCATCGTCATGATAAAAGAGAATAGCTATTTCTCTTCATCGAATCCAGTTGATTTTATTAAAACGCGTAATGTAGTCCAGCTATCTACTGACATAGATACTAGAATTGATAATATTCCAAGCCTGTATTTGACAATACGTGGTTATATGACTAAATGAATATCCGTTTAATTGAAAACAAAGTAAAGGTGAATTCTGCTGCCCCTTTATATAGCATATACTACTTATTGTGAAGGAATAGGTCTCATAAGAATCATTTACCACGACCCCAGTACTTTTTTTGTGGAAAAAGTCAGTTTTTAGTCAGTTATAAACAAACAAAATATACATTCGCTTAAATAAAGGTTTCAATTCGATAAAATATATCATATTAAAATTAATCACATCAAAAATAAGGGGAATTTAGTTTTAAATGAAACTTTACATGAAATGTTTTGTGCAAAACAGCATTTATATGCTATATTGCATCACTTAAATAAATAACGTATTATAGCCAGAGCGTGAATGATTTTGCAGGCGGTGTTTAAATTTAATACTTTATCATAGCATTATTATGTTTAATAGGATATAATGAACGTTATGACCGGTTTCTAATGGTTTTTTTCGCATCGCATAGTTGTATCAATTTTTTAAGTGTATCGGTACTTTAAACAAAATAAATGTTGTTCTACCAGTGATGGTAATTTGTGATTTATGATCATAAGTTGTGGCTAGCTGTTAATCTGAGTAAGAAAGACGGACTAAAGCAGTATGTTTCTTTCTTTCAGTCACTCAAGGATTCAAAAGAAATTAAAATATATATTAAAATTAGAAAGCAATTAAGGTCTGCAACTTCAATGCGTTTAAAATTTTCAAAATATTGGGCATCACAATGTTATATACATGACATTGTTATTGATAAGCGATGTTCTGTCAAATTTTTAAGTAATTGGGCCATTGCGTAGATAAAGAAACTTGTAGTATTTATTTCAATTTGTTTGTCTTAGAAATTATGCAGCAAAAAAGTGTTAAATAATAACTTTTAGGAACTAGTTATTTATAAAACAATACCATTAACTTAAATTTTTATTTACCTTGATGAGAAATTGATATTAAATTAGGTTAATAAGAAAATTTTTAAATATTCGATGACTAAATTTGATCAAAGTATTAAAGTGAATGATAAGTTTATCCTCAAGATAAAATTTGCAAATGACATGAGCTAAGAGCTAATAGTCTAATCGGATTAATAAGCACGGTTAATTCATATAGCGAAGAACTTAGTCTTCACATTAAAATACCTATGTATACCTATACTTTTACAACATATTTGAATGTAAGCTGAAAAACTATTTTTATAAAAAATAAAAAATAATATGGTTATTAACAGAACTACATAAATAAATTGTAAAGTTTTAAATGTGAGGAATGTATGGGATCACTAAAAACTGGGTTTGTTTGAAAGCAACAAAGTATTAAATAAAAATTACGTTTCATATATTTCTCAAATACAAAAAGATATTAAGCAGTTATCATCTTAATTTTAAATTCAAAACCAATCTTGTAAAATGATAAATGGGGTCTTAACTGCTCTATGTTATGGAAATCTGAACTTTAACAACTGCAGATATCAATAAACTCGAATGTTCTATATATATATATTTTATTTTATACAAGCTACTAAAAATATGTACGTTGTATTTTCCAGGCTACATAGCACCCGATAATGATCCTACCTTTTAATCCTTATAATCCATGAAATACCCTCAAAGGTGTTTCTTCCGCTTGTACGTCAGTGCCGGGCATATCCATAGCACATGGTATGCGGTTTGTCTCTCTTCTCTACAGTATCTGCAGGTTGAGTTGGATTGGATTCCTAACTTTGTTAAGTGATTATTTAATGTGCAGTGATCAATTCTTATGTTATTTTTTCTTAGTTTTATGCAATCATTGAACGTTTTAGATTCATAAAAAGGGATAGAGTTCCTTTGCCTAGATCGCAGAAAGATTCTGAGCCTCTTTTTCATTGAAGTCGCACCTCTTCTTACGAGTTTCTCTGCTACTTCATTATCTTGGAGTCCAGCATGCCCGGAATACAAATTAAGTCTATCTGATTGTTTCAGCAAAGTATGTGGAACTTGTTAATGCTCTCCAATACCAGTTTGGATGTTATCTAGTAAGGCATTTGCTTATATTTACTTCAGATCGTAAACAGATCTGAACAGATGCTGTATATACAAGTAAAATGGTGCGGCTCTACCATGTAGTATTCATTCTACACGTCTATCTGTCTTCTTCCTACGTATTGAAACTAGCATTTAGTTATTGAGAAATTCGGATGCTAAAATGGATGCAACTGATTAACTAATTATTAGACATATTAGATCAGTAAAAATAACAAACAAAAATAGCTTATTAAGACTTGCTGGGTACTGATGCAGGAATGAAAAAGCCAATTCGGTGGACATCTTATATCGGTTGTGGAACTGGGACTCAAAGAAACACTCTGAATATATAAATGATAAAAATTGGTCCCTTGGTCCTAGTGAGAGATCACTTAATCATAATAATAATCAATGTATGTAGTATTAAAGCTTTTACAGAGTTAAAGCAAACAATTTTTCATTGCAGATATCTGTTTTTATTTATTTTTATTGACAATTTTAAATATATCTGTCTATATATTGTACTAATACTTTTCTTGGGTCTTTGTTCTGATAACACTCATTAAAGGAAGTGCACACAAATCAACGCACAATTACAATTTTTTGCTTGTGCGCAAATACTCGTTCACAGAATGGTGAATACTCGTACACATGTACACATAACTCATAATACACCACAAGGATTACCACATCACCCTTTCAGCAATTTTGATAAAAGTTTTATGAAGTTGTTTGCTTTGAGCTGGAAAATTTGAAACCGCAATTAAAACTTTTAAAGTTTACCAAAGTTTTCGGAGACCCCAAACATACGAGTATATATCACAAATCCGCAAGGATACACTTTAACGTATCCGTAGTAAAAGACTTAAAGTGCTTATTGGATTAATATTTCATGTGTGCAAACTACTTTTTAAGGTGAAAACTTATAGTTTGAGTATGTGAAATATATTTTTAATTAAACTTTCTCCGAGTTTAATTGTTAAAAATTAAATTCTAAAATTGCCACTCAACAAAAACTTCAACGCAGTCAAAGCAGACAAAACGGACAAAGTAGACAATGCAGCAGTATAAATAGTTTTGCGCTAAAAATATCTTTGTATAAAAAAATACTCGTAAATTTGAAAATTGCCAATGAATTATGTGCTAAACGGCAATTCAAATATTTTACCATAAAAATATTACATACAAAATGGGTAAGGCGAACGGTTAGGCTAATACCAACAATTTTACAGCAGCTGCAAATTTAAGTAAAAATCAACAACTTTGCTGGAATAAAAGAGAAAATTAAATATAAAAGAAAAACTTGTAACCAATTTTACAATTTCCGTTTATAATGTATACGTTCAATATTCAAGTTTTGGTGGCCATTATTTTTACTGAAACTATCAGCATCATTACCAGCACGTTTAACTCTTTACAATTTAAGTATCCGAAAAAAGTCGCAGATATGCTGTTAAACCGTAAAAGCAGCTCATAGTTTGGCAATAAGCCAACAACGGCCGTATGACAATCATCCAAAGAGTTTCACAAGATACCAGTTGAAAAAGCCACTTTTGGACCAATAGCTATACATATAAAAACAACAACAACAACAACAGTAATAACAGCACTGCTACAACAACAATGTCAGCAAAGGAATAATGTCAGACAGAAATGTGGCCAAGTGTAGTAGTACTGACAAAACTGATAAAGTAAAAGTGTGTCCGTGTATTTTATGCACCTCTGCTTCGGAAACTGACATACAACAAAACACTGTAGAAATTTAAGGACCTCTAGGATAAGCAGTACAGATATAGTAAGACAAACTCGAAACGAGAAATGAAAATAAAAATAAAAATTAAACTAAACAAGAATTTATCTACAAACAACGAGAAGAGCGAGCACAAACAAAACTAGGCTAAATGTCCGTCCAACATAGTATAGCCGTCGGTTGGGTATAGATTTTAACCCTTTGCTACATCTTTACTCCACCTCAAGTACACTTTATGCTGTTGAATGTTCAGTGTCTTATAGTTTGTTATGCATATTTTCTGGCATGTTTACGAAATGTATTTAAATATGCTAAATTCGAAATATTTTAAAAGTTATAAAAACAAGCAAAATTATTTTGATATAAAGAGAAATTTTCTGAAATGTAAATAAAGCCTTTTTAAGGGTTAAAGAAAACTAGGGCAAACTTAAATTAGTTGTAAGCTGTCCTAGAAAAATTATTTTGAATTAATTTCAACTCAAAAATAGTCTGCTTTTTGCAGAACTCATTTTTTTTCGAATATGTGATGATATTGTTAGTGATGGTTAATTAAGCTTTACAATTATTTAAGGTTTATCTACTTCAGTTTAAATCTTCCACTTTTGAAAAGAGTGATACTTGAAGCAGAAAATTACAACACGCGTGGAATATCCGATTATAATGAAATATTTATAAAATATAAACTTAATTCTCACACATGTTTTGTACATGAGTCATACGATACGAAAAATACAGTTGAAGCTAGAAAGTGTAAGTCAAAAGATATAGTCAACAAACTGATAGTTAGGATGGCGAAGATTTCTGTCTGAAATATTGAGGTAGAATCGCAGAGATGATATGATTTACTAATCTTTAGATCTATAGAAGATTCCAGCTCCACTGCTTTTGTTCATCTTAGACCCTTCGATCAACAAACTGGTGTACAATAAAAAAAAAATTTGTCGACTTATACTACATAGAATAACAAAAAGGTTTCTATGCACAATTTCATTTGATTAATATAAACTAATTTAATGTTAATTAGTGAAAAAGGGACTGATGGCATGCAAATGAATGACCAACGAATGTGACTATATCGATTCATATAACGGAAAAACTTTTGACAAAAATAATAAAAGATATCATCAATAAGTCTTTGGTATGGTACACATATGGCATCCCTTACAATTCGGAAGAATAAAATTCTCCATACTATACTTCTCAAAATTTATCAATATTCTAATAATTCATTTACAATTTTTTAATTTTCGAATGTGTGCAAAAGTATATTAAAGACAAAGCGCTGAAATTTTTTAATTCTGTGGATGCACTAATTCATCCACACTAATTCAAAATTGCACTCTTTTAAATTAAATGCAATATATATTCCGTCACAAAGATATGCTCGACTTCAAACTGTGGTTCTGTAAATTCTACTAAATAACTCATTATCAGTATTCAGAGCAATACGTGTTGTAGTGAATCATCCAAGTAGTCACAGACAGTATTGAGTAAATATGATTTAGACACTAACTTCCGTTTCATCAAACAGTGAAGAAGAAAAAGAGGCAGAAATTTGGCTCTATCAGAAAAGCAATTGCTTTAATTACTTTCTATTTGCGAAACGAAAAAATAAATATCTAATTTTTAAATTAAAATTTTAGTTCTGTGACTGCAATCCTTTCTATTTAGCACCTGACTATAAAATCTTCACTTTTTTGAGTTGTTTCAACTTACAAATCCATTGTTTTGGTTTTTTTCTCTTTAGAATATTGTGGTGAGTCCACTCTATATCAACAGTTCAAAATCCTTGCAAAAAATCTATTTTCACTTATTCGAAAAGTGAATCTATCTAGAATTAGAAATACTTAAACAATTACGTGTTTGATGCAAAAAGTGTTGATTGAGAGATTCTGCACCAATTTTCTGGTTTCCAATTATTTGTTTAGTTTCAAATTTCATACAAAAAATTTGTTTTAATCTTGATAATTTTTTAAAGTTTCTGTTATTTAATAATAAAAATAAAAAAATTTTGAAACTTAAACAACACATAAAAACTTTTTTAAATAAATTTTTATTACTGCAACATGTGTGTATATTAAACAAAATAGTTTATTGCAGTTTTAATAATAATCTTTATTCCATTTTAATATTTTTGCTTTAAAATTAATCAGTGCAATTATTTTGTTCACTTTTTCACATGATTCCATGATTCCAACTATATATAGTTTGTAATTAATAAAAATAAATAAAATTATTACTAATTCCCCTAAGACAAGAAAGTTAAAACTCTTTGAAATTCATAAATATCGTATAATAAGTTACATGTTTCTTCAAGGCAAAGTATTCTAAGTACCAAATGTCAAACAAAATACAATATAAAATTGAAAATAAAACCAATTAAAGATAAGAGATGTGCTTAAATACTATATACTTTTCCATAAATAAATAAGTCATGATATGCTATTACGAAACCCTAAATATTATTTCAAAATACTCGTTACTACAGTTCAGTTTTGTGAAGGATGTACATTTTTAAAATAAAATAGTGAAGTTTGAAACCAAGCCTGTGCTTCAGTTTTACGTCCTTACTGATTTTAATGCAGTTAATTTGAATCATCTCTTATTCTTTGAACTGGACGTGTTTCATTGCGCTGCGATAGTGCAGAGTCAGGATTTTTTAGTTCCATAGCTAATTTGTAACCAAGTTCAGGACGACGATCACGTCCTTCAGCCATTCCTTTAACCTGTTAAAACAAGAAATATGAAAAGTTTATAGTATGCAAATTGCATTTTTTAACCAGTTTATGGCAATAATAATAGCAGCAATTTGCAAGGACTCACCTCATTGGAATGCACAATGACGCCGTGATGGGTAATCACCGTTTCCTTGGTATGTTCAATATCATGAAAATCAGTGCCACGACAGCAATCATCAATCAAAATAGTGCGATAACCAACGGATAAAGCATCAGCAGCCGTAGCACCTTGAAGTAGAACGGAAGGTGACGTGAATATATCTCAGTTAAGCAAATAGTTGGACGAGGTACGAAAATCGTTCTGAAGCTTTGTAAAAATATTTAATTAACAGCTCACTAAATATTTAAGGTAATGAAGCCAGAAACTATACTCGTACTGTAAAATTTTTGAGTTTACAATTTACAACGAATATACCCTACAGCTTAATAAGCAGGAAGTTATTAAGGCTTGCATTCCAGACGTGCAAGAATATAATTGGTACGATGAAGTGTGAAAAATAATTTTAAAAGTTAATGAAAAAATGTATAAAATACAAAAAAATTATTACTTAATAAAATTGAATTATTCTTGTTATAGCATTTTTTGCTTCATTAATTAACTCGCATTATTAATTAAAATAACAGCGTCATATGAACCATATCAGTGAAAGCAAATTATCAATGACACTATCGATGACTTTATTAATTATACTATCGATTTTAATGATAATTAACAATGTTTTAAAAAACTATCGAATTTTTCTCTAAAGGTGGGAAGTAGGGATAATATAATAGTAATGTTTTGTGTAGACTCACAGCAAATTAAGATACTTTATTAGTTTAACATATAAACATTGTGTTTAAGGCACGATTGTAAGCATTTATAAAACGATTCAATATCACATTTTAGTACTCCTTGCTTCAGTTTTTTTATATATCAGTGTTATTCAGAGCAATGGGTATATTTTTAATTCAGTGAAAAACGTATAATTTTGCTATTATTGCTATTCTATCGTAATTGGTACGCAATAGCAAACAATTTTATTTTATTTACATTTATAAAAAGATTTGAAGAATAATTAGTATAATTTTTTTCTGTGCTTTTACTTTTTTATCTTATTTTATTTTTTTTTCTTTCATATTTTTTTTTTTCTTATATTATTATATTTTAAGAATGTGATTTAATAACTTAGAGAATGCACAGATATGAAAACTTTTTCTCCTAATTTAGACTAGAACAAAATTCTATCCGTTTTTGTTCTTTGGAACAGATTCATCATTCCCATCTTAAGGGAATGACTATAGTTATTTACGTATTTATATTAATACTATTGTAATAGATCTTAGAGGTTGTACGTACACATAAGTTAACCTCCATGTTAAGTTAAGCATATAGTTATATATGTACATTGGATGATTTTAAAAAGTATCTTCCGTTTTTCGTCCATTTTTTAACAAAAACTTTTTTTATTCAATTATTAATTACAATCATATGTTTGTTAACCATTATTATTTCTGACATCTTGCTATTTTTCGGATAGCTTCATAAATCAATGAGTGTAGAACTTTTGTGATTTATGAAGAAAAAACTTGGCCAAGTGATTTTTAGCAGCTCTTCGGTCGGACAATTTTTAACCATTAAGAGAGTTTTATGAAAACCGAAATAAATGCTAGTCAGATGGACGAATTACACAGCTGTCTTCACAAAAATGTGACCTAAAATGTCACTCTTCAAATATGTGTTGGTTTGACAAAATTGAATCAGTGTCGCCAGCTGTTTGGATACCAGCACATTTTGTGACAAAAAACGACTGTTATTTCAAATATAACCAAGTATATGATTTTAATTAGAGTTGAGAGAATATAAAAAAATTTAAGTAAACTAGCACACGGAAGCATTGAGAAAATGTGAGCGATCTCTGACAAATAACCTACAAATTTCATTTTTATGACGAAATATTTTTGTATGAACTATTTAGTATATATTATTATTCATACGAATTTCCTATTTTTTATTCTACTCTTTCAACTATAGATAATAGTGTTTTATCAATTTAACTCTTACTTTAGACTAAGATGAAAACTATTGCGGTTAGGTTAAGCAACTCCAACCATCTACTTAGGCGTATTGCTTTATTATGTTAATAGAAATTTTGAAATTTATCAGGAATTATAGACAATGCTCAACAAGCTGTTGAGGGAAAAAACATATTACTGACTAAGATCTCTTCGAGTGTGTTTTACTACAATGTTTATTTTTTATTGCTTCATGACATCTTGAGAAATACAAGGCTGTTTTATTAATAGTTAATATTTTTATTATTTGTGAGTTAACATTAAATTTAATTTTAGAGTTAACTAAGAATGAGTTACTGGACTGCTAGATCCTTCGCCCAGTATTAATAGTGTATAAACATACATGTTTTCATTTTACCAAATGAACGTTTGAAATTTGAGTTGTACATTTTTTAAAAGGGTCTTTGATCTACCTTTATAATTATCAATTAAGATTTTTTATTATTTTTCACTTTATATAAATTTGTATAACTATTAGTAGTTCAAATACCCAATTGTCTTCTATCGATAGTTTTGCACAACAAATACACATATATATCATAGAAAAATTAACAAACATATAAGATATTTGAATTTAATAGAAAATGTAATGATTCACATACTGATTTTTTAGTTGATTTCTGATTTAATTTGATTTGTTTAGTTTTGTTTTGATTCGTTTTATTTTCCTCAAATATTGAAATCCAGAACTCATCTTTAGTGGAATATATTAAAAAAATTGAATTAATTAAACTCACCAACACAAACATCATAAGCTAATCCACATACGTATATATCGGTAGTTCCCTTCAGTTTTAACTGTGCATTTAGCGAAGTATCTGAAAGTTTTTTATTATCCCAGAACACTGAATATGAATCTACTTCTGGATTTGTGCCCTTATAAACTTTAACACTGTTGTCCGCTATTTTCAAATCCTTATGCAATTCAGCACCCCATGAATCTTGTACACAATGACGTGGCCAAAGCCGTTGCTTCATTGGTGGTGGACCAGCAAATATCACAGTATCAAATACTTGCGCAGAGTCCGCATCAATCTATAAAAAACATTGCGGTCATATATATATAAACAATATTTCCACTTATTATTTTATATTTGTATAAATCACTAACTGGTGACGATTCATCCATAGGACGCATTTTAACATTGTCTATAAAAGAAATATGATCACTGGGATGCCAATCTAATGAATAAAAGGTAGCATCAAAATCAACTGTTTCCAATAGGTTATTAATAGGTTCAAGTATCTATAAATATAAAAAGTAAGATATTTAAAAAACTGCATAAATATTTGTAAGAAATTCCCTATCTTTTAGAGCACTTTATTGGCTGCATATGAATACTAACCAATATCAACAGTAACGACAAACGGAAACGACTTAAGTAAAGAATATCCGTTACTGAACGGCACACCCGTCACCCGTTACACACAATGTAAACCATATCACTTCCGTCGCTTACACGGGTATCACTTTGAACCACCCAACTAGAGCCCACCACTGAAGCCATTACCATTTCAACTTTTACTACTCATATTTCTTGCGTATCACATTTTTCTTATTTTTATTCCCTTTAAGTACTCACCTCATATCCTTTTTGCTGTGCACTGCAATTACTTATATCCAAAGAACCACTTATAAAGTCATTTTGTACATCAACAATGAGAAATGCGTTTACGGGTCGCACAATCTGCAAAATAAACAAAAAATTAAAGCATACAGGAAGAGATACATTGAGGAAGAAAAAAGAACAGCAGCCGGATGTGAGGCTGACATAGTCGTAAAACAGTACGGCGCATTAAAGCCGATTAAGTATAAAAAATTTTACTGTAAAAAACTACAAACTGTGTTGTTTTTTTTATTAATATTATATTTTTAATATTAAAGATTATTTTTAGTGTGCTTTTTCTCCTGTTTTTGATTCGTGCGCGTCTTGCCCAACGTTTGAAGTGTAACGTTTGCATCCATGCATAGACCGCGAAATCAGGCTCATAAACCGGAAATAATAATTTACGTAAATGGTTAGTGCTAAAGCCTTAAGGTTAAAAGTTATTAAGTTCTCAGCTATAAATTATTTTCTCTATGTAGCAAAAAATTGGTATAAGGACGAGAAGGAAAAAAGAATTTTAGTGTGTATGAGCTTCGTTTCTTATGTGTACCTTATAGAATAATCGTATTAGTATTTGTAATTACGTAAGCAATTTAATTTAAATTAATAATGGTATTATCAACTTAAAAGCTTCTGATTATGAAATAAAGTTTATATTACTTTCTTCATCTTTATATATTTGTTTGTATTCGTGTATCTTATATTTCTATACACCTTCTAATTTATTTTTTTTTTTATGTGTTTATTTTATTTTGAGAAGTACTGCATTTTATTGTTTCATCTTATTTCATTATATTGCATTTGTTTTGGAATCGAAATTTGTGGAACCGATATTTCAAATCTTTATTACGTCAATACCAGCAGAACCTGTGTTTCTCAATCCAAAAGGTACTGCGTATTCAAAATATTTAGAATGACCAATACCAATATCTTTCCAAAAAGTTATATCATTTAAAGTAAAAATTCAATACATTTAAATATATTGATATAATATTGAATATATATTGAATATATGAAATAAAAAGTTCTGTTTACTTTGGAATAAAAAAAATAATAATAATAAATTATTAGTAAAAAGTAATGAAGCTAAAAATGTCTTAATGTTTGATCAAAATATAATAAATATTGTTTTTGAGATGCTCAATATGATTTAAATGAATTTTTGGTTTTTGTTAAACATTGTTTGCTACTTCTTAACTCTACTATGAGATAAATAATGTTCAGCATAACTGAATATAATAACATATTTCGGTATGTTCAGTATGTTGTTACTCGATTGAACACAAAACTTGATATAAATTCTTTTTTGAATGCCTATTTTTGAACCGATAACGCAACCATACATCATACAATGCCTCCGCTTTTAATGGTCTAAATGGCATGAAATTTTGAATGTTTATTCAAAAAGCATGTACCTTACCGGCTTATATAATTCCCAATAGATGGTCGCGTAAATATGGTAGTTAGTTATTTTGAAAACGTTCTGTTTAGAATTTAATAATCACCATATATGCAGTATTCCAGGTTATTGAGGCTGTGGGCATTTTGACTCGGTGGTATATCACAATTTACTTGAATATGTGCACATGAAAGAGCTATTGATGCTGCCAATAGCTCATAGTTGACCATAAGCGCACCCATGTGACTACTTCAAAGAAGTGTTTGGCATTTTTTAATCAAATACCGTTTCGTAATCGTGAACGAAGCATATATCCAGTACAATCCATTGCAATATAAAATATATATGTATTAAAATATATGTATTAAATATGTATTAAAAAAGACCAAAGTGATTTGTCGGCCAACAAAGTTATGGCGACAATTTTTTGGGGATGGACAATGTGTCATTTAAATCGAACACCTAGAAAAGTGTTAACCGCTTCTCGATATATATTATTTAAAGTTATTGAACAGATTCGCCTTCGATTCTACGCAAAACCGTTTACATTTAACGAAAAAAAGCGCTTCTTTATAAAGACAATGCACAAATTCGCAGAAGGTATGGCAAAAGAAAATAAATTGGGCTACAAACTGCTACCCAATCCAGCATAGATTAAGCACCTTGCGACAATTTCCTGCTTCCAAATCTAAAAAAATATCTAGGCGGTAAGGAATTTGGGTCAACTATAGAAAATGTGCCGTCAGTTATCATCACTGAAACCAATGTCTATTTCGATTACAGTGAGGATAAAAAAATTGCAAAAATATTTAAGTATATTTAACGAGCTAGTTGTTTACGAGAATACTATGTTGAGAAATAAAATGCTTTGTTGCTGAAAAATATTGTTTATTAAAAAGACACTGGCGATGACCTATGATTATACTTTTTCAATAAATCCCAAATTGATTTAGCGTCAACTATTTGTTTATCTATATGCCAAAAATTTACTTCTTAACATATAAATTAGTTAAATGATACTTTTATCACTGGTATTTTATAAATCGAAGCAGCACAATTTTTAATTACTAATGAATTGCTTAACTCAATGATGATTCGTCTGCATACAATAATAATCGTATATGGATTGTTTTTGGATATGACCTCAAAAAATAAATCCAGATACATCCAAAAAAAAACCAAAAAAAAAATATTTAAATATAATATAATAGTAAATACAATAAACTAAACTAACTTTTTAAGAATATTATGGATCAAAAAGCCAATGATAATTTTCCATTGCTTGTTTTAATAATGGATTGAAATTGAAACTTAAAGAGCTTTTTTAATTTCTAATATTTTTTCTAATGGAAATACTTGAGTACAATGTAAACAAATAAACATATAAATTGTTTAATATTTATAACGTCAAATGGCAACTTCCTTCCTAACATCAATTTTCAGTATATTTTTTTACAACTTAACAGCAATGTACATGTTAAATTTTAATCTATAATTTCGTACCGTTAAGTAACTTGGGGTTATTCAACAATTTCGGAACGGAAATTGCTTTAGCACTTGCATATGCTGTGCAAATGATGTGTTTTCACAATATGCCAACACGATATTAAACCCTCTCCTTTTGCATGACAGCGGTTTTCAGTTTTGATGTTAAAATTTGATCACAGTGCAACAGACAGGAATATGCAATAACCGAAACTTTGCCTTTGGGACATGATTACAAACTTATCCCACACATAGTGGCTATACATAGAAAGTTGACTCCAAATAGATATAGCATATATACTCGTATCGCATATAGAAACAAAGTTTGCTTCCATTACGTGCATTGTGTCTTGCTGCATCGCATGTGGCAGGATAACAGCTTTTTCTTTTTTACTTTGTATTTGTACAAAGGACACATCGAATTCAATATTTTATAATTTGCTTCCTGACAACCAGGCAGAATATATATATTCACTTGAGTTTGAATATTTGCTTGGACATGTGTAAAATAAACACTTTAAATTATTTACATTGATCAAGAAATTTACCATCAAAGCTGTAAACTTTCAAAGTCTTTAATTTCTCATACACTGAAAATAGATTTGGAAACGTTTAATTTGTGAGCCAAGAAATTGAATTTCATACTAAATGTGATCGAATAAATATTCATAAATGTACAATAAAAAAGAAAAAATATGTGAAAAAATCGCATAAAACCTGGAGTACGAAACGTGAACGTCAAGTAATAAAATTATTTTTGTCAACACATTTTTATGATTATTTGAGATTTTATTTGCCATTATTGAGTATGTGCTGGTGTCAAAATTGGGGGAGGGACTTACCGCCGACAATTGTCTTGTGAGTACTCGTACAGCTCCACATTATGCTACAACGTCTGCTATAAAAATTTCTCAATAACGATTTATAGGCACAACAAAAATATTACTTTTATGTTTACAAACATAAAAGCATATATTTTGGCATGTTTTTAAACATTTTTTACGAAATGAACAAAATTATATAGATTTTTATCTGCAGGCAATTTATGAAATTCGATTTGCCGAAACATGTGGAACGACAGGAAAGTTGATTGTATTACTTTATTTCAATAAAAGCAATCATGTTTGTTCTATTTTAAATTTCTGTGCCATTAAAAATAGAAAAAAATTTAATTTATATAAGGGCATTTTCTGTTAAGGTTTAATACTTAAGTTGGGCATATTATTTCTAGTTGGTACCATTTTGATAATTCAGAGTTGATTTATATTCAATGTGTTTTACTGTTTATGGGCTGTTAAAATCACTGATCCATTTCCTTTAAAAAACTTTGACGGTTGGAACGTTACGATCTTCATTTGAACGGCTTTAAAGGTTTCATTATAACAAGAGATTACATGCAATCAGCTCATTGCAAAAACATTAGATGAGCTGAAAATTTTACGTTCTAATCTTATAAATTAGTCTCACGGATCGTTTGAACTTAACTCTTTCGAATATGTAATTCTCTTTTGGGATAATGATAAATCGTTAATCTACTTAATTAAATGAAAGAGTTTGGGTCACTTGGATACAAATATTTGGAACTAATAAAGTTCGTTTGATTGATTACAAAAAACATTGATAAAAACAGGTTTAATTTTATAATATTGATTTACATTATTTTTCATTTTTGGTACATAATACCCATTAATATCTATATGTTTTTATAGCCGGTAGATCCACTTTCTTAAACAGTACTCAATATCTGCTTGTTTCGGTCTCCAACTTTAAATTTAACTGCACTAATTATATCTTATTATAAACGAAGATTCTTTTTTTGAAATTTTTTTATTTTTAAAAAACACAAATCACATGGCGCTAGATCTGAGAGATAAAGTACGGGACTAATTTCTTCAACTTCGGAGAGTGCAATGAAGTATGAGCAGAAGTCTTATCAAGAAATAATCGAGTAGTTTTTTTTTTAAAAGTTTCCCAACAAACTTTAAAAAACTTTTGGTGAGCATGTTTTTTGATACCATATAGCAGATATCATATGTTGAGTCTTCATATGAATAAAAGCAATAATTCTTGCTTCAGTATATTGACATTATTACTTTGGTTACTGATTTCTATTACCTGGTTTTAATGGTTGATTTCACAATTTCTGGGCACTATTTTTATATTTTGTTTGTGCTATGAAATAAGTAAATGGGTTTCATGACCAATTTGATGCACACGCGCCATTTTTTAAAGTTTACTTTAAATTCGACGATATTCCTAATAACATTTGCTGTACAGAAACGCAATTAAAGTCAAGTTCGTAAATCTTTTAAATCTTTATCAATTTTTAGTTTTACCGGAGTGACGTCCAAGATTTTAGACGACATTCACGAGATTTGTACATCAGTACACAGAAAAATCTGGTCTAAAACCTACGAAACCACTTCAAAGCTATTAAAAGCGATAGTATATTCTCTCTATATGCTATTTGGCACTTATTAAATACTTTTACAGATTTGAAGTTAAAATGAAATCCGTAAAGAGTGACAAACCAAACCTTTTGCTGAGATGAGATTTGGTTTTCTTATTTTTATTTCGATTGCTTGCTGTAAAATTTCAAATTTAATGTCACAATAGTGTACCAAATAGTGTATAGCGTCCCATCACACAAATTAAGCCATCCTTATTTGCATCCTTTATTTATTAAGTATCCTTTATTACAAAATCAATAATCTTTCTTTAAATTTGTTATATAGTTATAAAAACCAATAATTTAATAATAATATTTTTTTCTTTGGTATTTTTAATTTTACAACACAGTATCATTTTCAAATATGTATCTCTATTTATCCAGTAATAGAATGGAGCCATCTAAATAGACAGAATGAAATAGACAGTTCTGGTAGGAAGCAGATAAGACCTCTAGCCACATTTTAATTAACTATTAGGCATTGTTCTGAGCCAGCAGGAATTAATTGGGTTGGTAGTTCAAATCTCCATCCGATAATAGGATAGATATCCTTAATAGCTAACGCGGAGTGTTTTCGTAATAATAATAATGGCAGAGGTCTTCTTTGCAGTTAGAGTAGATTAGAGTACAAAAGATTTCTCACTGTCACAGTGTTCCACTTGGCTAATAACCCGTTTGCCAAAGTATCCGGTTTATTCATATCTTATCTTTCTTAGTGGGATTTCAGCTATGTATGCTTGATAAGGTCAAGCATCTTTTTACATTTGTCGCTTCTATCAAACCGATTTCAGATCAACAAACGGACATAAGTAAAATCAGATTACTTTATTATCTTCTTCAAGAAAGTGTTTATTTTCATCATAATCGTGTAAATAACTTAGATGATTATCAGAAACTTACAAAAAATACAAATGCTGATAATTAGTTTATTTAAATATTCATCTGAAGAACGTGTGCTTCGGTTTTATATGTTTATAAGTACTTCCACATTTATTGTTTAAGATATAAAGATAGTTAATCTGATATGGTTTAAAAAAGAACAAAATGCTGAAAAAAGCACTCATAAACATTCATAGCCATTTAAGATGCCATCAAAATTGCAAAATATACAAATAATACCTAACTTAAGTCACGTATTGCTGAATTACTTAAACAATCTAAACTATTCTAGTAATTTATAGAATATAACGTTTTAATATAATAATTTTATTTTTGCTAAAGAAGTATATATGGAACATACCGTCTTAATCCAACGATTCCAACAAAATTTAAATTCTTCACGATCAATAAAACCATCTTCATTGGTATCAAATACATTAAAAATTTCTTCCAAGCGATCAGCTGGCACTTCGTAGATGTGTCCTCTATCATTGCGAAATAACGCCCGACAAATTACAGTAAACTCTGCCAGGCTAAGCAAACCATCTCTGTAAATAAAGAAAAATTATTTTACTCTGTGAAATAAGAATACATATATAAAAAGTTATAAAAATATATTTTTAGTAAATATTCACATCTTTACATAATTAATATTTTTTGATTACTAAATAACACTTTTCTTAATACATAAAAATATGTCCACTAATAAATTAAAGGTGTATTACATTGAAAATATTTAAGATATGTTTTAAGATACATGGATGTATTTTCATTCATTTATTTTTATTTTCTCCTTAAAGTTTCGTGCATATATTCAAAATTTGACTTCTTACTTAAAAAGAGAAAGATACTCTTGTAAAACATAGTTTTTAGAGTCGATATCCTTAATGTAGAAACGATCAAATCATTATATGGAGAAATCGTTATACAAATTATGAACTTTCAAATTAGTTTCCAAAATCAATGCTCTAAAAAAACGAAAGACATTATTGATCAAAAAAGTAGGCTCTTAGAAAACGATTGAATAATTTTTTGGGCTGCAACTGTTATCGATGTCGGTAAGACTATTGTCGAGAAACATCCCAATTCGTTGACTTAAGTCAATGGCGGTGATATCAAGCTATATTGAACGATTTCTTGTTTCGAAAAGTACATGAACATGGTCGAGAAAGTTTTCACTTAGAAAAATAATTTGTTTGATTTAACTATTTTAAATAAAGCACATGTCAAAATATTTTTACTCGACCCATCATGTTGGCTCAATTATACCGTATGAGCTAAAATTTCTCTAACAAAATAATCAGGTCAATTGAACTAGTATTTTGTTAGAGCATAGTTTTCTGAGTGTTTAGTTTCAGCAAGATGGTGGCACACAGCAGCAAATTTAGACTTGTTGAAGAAACTTCTTAATAACAACACTTTTTTACAGAAATTGACCTGTCGCATAACCACCCTGATGTGTGATCTTTAAACATTACTCTCGTTAACCCAACAATTTTAAAATATTGTCTTCAAAATAAATTGACTGGTTTGTATCGATGCAGATTTGAACAAATCACAGTAATAGGTAAGTTGAATACCAGAAATTTCTTCACTTCATTTATTTTTTACTCCACATAAAGTTTTAATGTAACACCTGTCTATATAAAACGTCAATATCGTGCTTTACTTAACGCATGAGATATGGACTTTCAGTGAAAAGGTCAATAAACATATATCGCTATGTTAATTTACTTCTTATTTAGTATTAAAAATGAATATATTTTTTACGATCTCCAACGCTTCCTTTCCTTCATTATAAACGCATTGACAAACCAAATAACAAAATAAACCCATTATTCTCAACATTGTGAGCAGTATAAAAATGGATTATTTATCCATTATTGAATTTCTTATTCAGATACTACAATTAAATAAAAAGTCAGTCAAAAAAGAAATATACGTCGTTTTCGAAAAACTGTATAATCTTTGCTATAAAATCTTATAAACGCTGTTTAAATACTTTTAAAAATATTTCATTTAATTTAAATTAAAACTTAATTTGATGTTTTAATTTTAGTGTGAAATTAAACTTTATAGTATAATTTGTTCTCTGTTCTATTCATAAGTACAAGCGCATATATAATTACTTTTACATCTATTTCCAATCTAAGTTTATCTCAGCTATAAAAAAATTTGTTTTGTGAGAAAATAATAATTTATTATAAAAACTTTTAACGATATTATATTTTTAATTTATCTGACTAAAGTATACATTCAATTATATATAATGTTAATTAAAATAATTCATGGAAATAATATAATTACCATATGGTTTTTATCGGTTTTCTGCTACGTTAACTCTTTTTGGTTTTTTGTTTTTTTTTTTATAAAACTATTTTATATAAATTATTTCATATCACTTTCAAAAATTCTATATACCATCGTTTTTAATTTTTTATTACTGTATTTATTTTGTCTTATATGACAATTTTTATTCTATTTGTGATTTTAAAAATTTTTGTTTTTATTGAATCTTTTCTTTTTGCAAAAGTACTTCCATATATAGTCACAAATCATTTCTGAGAATTCTATGTTATATTCCGTGGTATTGTTTTTTAACAATTTTATTTTTTTTTTGTACATAACGATTTTTAATCTAAATAATATATATTTTTGTCTTTAAATACTTTTATAAACTAAGTCAAAGCTTTGTCATTCCAATTTTGTATTTATTTTTAATTTTTTATCTAACTGTTTATGTTCATAAACAAATGTAAATTTTTTGGATGATGATTTCATTTACATCAAATTTTTAGCAAACCTATGTGGTGGTTTTTAGGTGTATTTTAAATAAAGTCAGCCAGTTTTGTATACTGTTATTAAAATTACTAAAAAAAGTGATTCAAAATTCAAAATACTAATTTTTGTTTATTGACGCAGATAAATTTTCTCTTAGAACCTGTGAACAAAGCTCTAAAGATTGAAAAAATATAGCTAATGTGTATAGCATAGAATCACAATTTTCAATTGAAAAACTATAATCCATACTACAATCCAGTCCATCTCCGGAAAGAAGTGGCATAAGAGTTTGAAAGCATAAAGAATTTGAAGTTTATCACAAATATAGAGTTGGCTCCAAAAAAAACAAATGAAGAAAGACCTGAATTTTATTGCCCAGAGTTCGGTATTAGATAGTCCATCAAGCTGCTCGATTATTGCATTATTTTCTAAACGGAAGTTTTTTGTGTGAGATAAGCCATGGTGTTAGTATACACTGAAAGAAATACCAATCAGCAATTACGTCGTATGTCTCATCACATCCAAAAATATTTTCAATATTTTCGTTTCTCTGCAGCTATAAAAATATTAGCTGGAAATAGGCTTGTGTACATATATTTTATTCAAAATTTTTTAAATATATAAGAGTATATAGTCCACAATCTCAATTATTACTGTGTTTATATGAAATAAAACTTTCTAACAACCAAAACCGAGACACCCACTAACATTTTTCGGTTCGCGAATTTAAAATTACCACTTCAAGTAATGTGCTTGGAGCCAATTATGGCCACATAAATAGAATTTACTGATGTAGTTGATTGCCATATTTCAATTAGTCAATGAAAATTTATCGAGTGGTGGGTTAAGCACCGACATAGTTGTATTACACTCCATTGGGTCTAGATTCAGGGTGACAAAATTATTTTAATTGATTAATGATTTTTTGTGCATTATAATTAATAATTACTAACACAATTTACGAATAAATATAAAAAAAAATGTTTAATTTTTCACGAATTACACATATGCACTTATTGTTATAAATGCTTATTTCTATTTCAAAAAAATATAGTTAATAATATAATTTTACTATTTTTTTAAATAAAACAAAAAAAACTAAAACAAAAAACTGTCGTGAATTTTTTATCTAATTAAACACATTCATTAAATTTTATTTTTAAATTTTTTTTATTTTGAGTGTAACTTTTTTATTATTTTATATATATATATATATATTGTTACAATCCGATATATTTATTTCACTGTTACAGACATATATACCAAGTAATAAGTAATTAATAGGTAATTAGTAATTAAATTTAATTGTTAGTAATTATTTATTAATTCGCAATTAAGAAAGAAATATTTGATTTATTTTTTTCCATGCACAAAAATTTTTGTATCTTATGATTCTTTTCAATTTTTTTTTATTTTAATTATTTTTATCGCAACAAAATTATACAAGTATTTTACTTGAAGTGTTGTTATATTATATAATACACTGCATATAATATTAATATAAAATTAACATTTTTATTATTATACACGTTTTATTTATTTATTTTTTTTATATAAAAAAATAATGAAAAATTCAAACTTACCCATCTTTATCGAATGCAGTGAAGCAGGCGTCCATTGCTGAGTTGTTTGAATCTTCGAACACAATTGACGGTGTTGGTGAGTCCATTCTTATATAAACGTAACCGTTGCAATGGATCTCAAGTAAATATTACACTTGTAAAATCAATTGCTGCAAGTGAAGGGAAATTATAAGAAAAACTTTTTCACTTTAGTTTCACTTTTGAGCAATAAAAAATAAATGGCAACCACGTACACAAATGCACAAAAAGTATTAAGCGAAGAACACACCCCCAACCTTAAGCGAAAAGAAAGTTCTTAACTGCACCAGAGCAAAGCGCACAAAGTTCTACCGACTTCGGCAACGTTCTAAGGTCGAATAGCGCACTCGAAAGATACCACAAATTACTTGCACACGGTATTTTGGCGAAGACAGCCCCACCGTGTATGGCGGTAACTACATATGATTAATAACGTGTAGTGGCGTAGTGGCGTAGTTACGTCGAAGTCTTTGTGACTACAGTGCGAAGCGGAAAAGTATAAACTAATGTCATGAAATGTTTTCTATAATGATGTGTAGATCAATTTTTCGCCTCAGTAATTTATCGAAATAACAATCAACTGCATTAGTTGAACCACATTTCTGTTGCCATGGCACTGTCGACATCAAGTAGTTTGATACTTTTAGCGGTTTTCGTATAATAAAACTGAATTTATTTTTATATTTTACTTTTTTACTTATATCTTCTGTGTAAGTTGACTAGTATATTTTGATAGGGTGTTAGGTTTACCAAGTTTATGTTGGAGACGCTTTTGGCACATAAGTTTGTTTAGAAATGATGATGCACACCGGTGTTAGCGAAAATAATAGAATATTTCAATATATGCGCAAAAGTGTTACTCACGGAAACTAAAAGTTTTTAATTATAATAGAAATAAATTACATAAAAAGTTACCGACACAACAACTATGAAATACGCTATCATATTCACTCATTTTTTTTTTATATCAACAATAATTGCAGTTAAGCGCTCTAAATGATTTGCTTTGTAATATATTTTTGATGCGGCTAATAAAATTCACATTATAAAAGTTTATAGAGACCTGACGGTTGTAACAGCATAAAAAACAATAAACTAATATAAAAAAATATAAGAGATAAACCATTGAATTTCTTCAACAACTAGGGGACCACCACGATTTTACACTAAACCAGCTAAAAGCTAATCCAAACCTAACAACCTTAAACAGTTAGTTAATTGAAGTTGAGGGAGGAACGAATCCTCCTCAAATTAGCTAATAAAGCTGTTTTGAATTCACAATTCCTCGTTATATATAACTATATTATAATTATAGAAAGTCGAACTAGAGCCAGCCAGAAGCATTTATAAAGGCGAGAGTCTGACCAATGTTAATACTGGACGTATCGGTGAATGTGTTAAAGAAGAGGACCCCCAAAAACCTAACCCTAGTTCTGGCCAGGTCTGGACATAGACACAACAGCTGTTCGGGTGTCTTTTCTTCGTGATTCGGCGCACTCGCGTTGCAGGTGATACCACAGTGTAGACAAAGCCTAGCTCCATTCCATCCTATGGTCATGTGCTCTGTAAAGACAGATATTAACCTAGATACCTATGACTTACTTCTGTGCATCAAGTAAGAGGTTCTGCATTTGAAATAGATTGGACATATACCCTTTGACCTGACTGTTAAGGTAGTATAGGCCCACTCACTATTACATTACAAAGTACGCATTCATATTGAGCCACTTATTGGTGGCCCACGAACAAAATATAGCAGAAATGTTTAACATCAAATAAAAAAAACTTCTTCTTCGAACAAGCGGTGCCTTGTCTGCTTCGAACGTTGGCTAATATGATTGCTATTTTGACTTTATCTACAGCCTCTAGAAAGAGTAATCTTGTACTTTTATTAAACCATTGACGTAAATTTTTCAGCCATAATATTTTTCGTTTTCCAGTGCCACGTCTACCTTGAATTCTGCCTTCAATGATTCATTTCAGTAGTCCGTACTTTTTCGGATGCCTCAGAATATTACCAAAAAACTCTAACTTACGGCGTTTTACTATCTCTAATATTTCTGTCTCTTTGTTGACACGCCGAAGTACCACTGTATTTGTAATTTTTTCTGTCCAGCTTATTTTCAGCATACGTCGATAGCACCACATTTCAAAAGCCTCGAGTTTATTCATCGATGCAGCATTCTTATTCTGAGCGGTAATGAAAGCTCTCGTGTGCACAGCAAGTTTTTCATTCTGATAAAAGACGACCTTGCTTTTTCAATTCGGATACGTATTTCTTTAATATTATCCCATTGCTGAATCCCAAGTATTGTTCTTATCGGTTCTATTTATAACTGAACCAAATACTGACAGTTTTCCTCCAGGAATAGGACGTTTGCTTACCACCATATATTGGGTTTTACTGCAATTTAATTTTAGGCTGTATTCTCTGCACTTTAATGCAACAACGTCTAACAGGTTATGTAAGCCCTCTATTGAATCGGCAATAAGCACTGTATCATCAGCGTATCTCAAATTCTTTATAAGTGCCCCTTTAATCATAATTCCATCTGTCGCATCGTGTAGTGCTTCTTTGAAAGTAGTCTCCGAGTATATATTGAACAGTAATAGTGACAGAATGCACCCTTGGCGAACCCCGTGCATTCTACTTCTACTTCTTGCGTGAAGTAGTTATCAATTAAAACATTTGCGTACTGTTTCCAGTATAAGTTTGTTATTATTCGAATATCCTTTTCATCTAATCTGCAATGTTTCAGAATTTCTATGAGTTGCCATGTTCGACAGTGTCGAAAGCTTTTTCGAAATCAATAAAACATAAAAAGACATCTCTGTTAAACTCACGACAACGTTCTATTAGGACTCGTATTCCATACAAGGCTTCTCTAGTACCAAGCCCTTTGCGAAAACCAAAGCCCTTTGGATAAATTCTATTATGTATAATTCGAAGGAATATATTTAACGCATGACTCATTAAGCTGACTGTCCTAAAATCTGCACATGTTTTTGGTGTAGCTTTCTTTGGAATCGTAATAAACGTAGATTGGTATCTGGCCTGTATTATAAATTTTATTAAAAAATCTTGTAAAATTACGTACGCCATTATATTTGAATAACTTCACCAATTCTGTTGATATTTGGTCAAAACCTACCGTTTTTTCTATTTTTGCACTATCAATTGCTTTTTGAACTTCATCCAAGGTTGTATATGGACTTGAATCAGCTCTTAGATGGAATGTCACGATTGATCGATTGCTCGCATATAGATTTTGGATATAGTTTTCCCACATTGCTACTTCCATTATTGTGTTTTTATTTGTCATAGATATTTCTTCAATGGACATATGTATTATCGGGTTGTAAACTTAATAACCTTGTTTCAAATTCATTTTCAACTCGCATCCTCAAATCTGGGCTTTTTAATTTCTGTACATAGAATTTACTCTTCGGTTGAGTTGAGCTTGTCGCTTTGAATTTAATGCTGATTTTAACATGATTTTTCCCCGCACCGGGGAAGGTTTTTGCGAATTTTATTGATTTCTTATATCTTTCACTTATTGTTATAAAGTCGATTTGGTTACGAATGATCATGTTTGCTGTATCTACTGGTGACTTCCAGGTATAAAGTTTTCGTTTTGGCAGTTTAAAGAATGTATTGGAAACAATCAACTTATTACTTCTGCGGAATCCAGTCAAACGATCACCTCTTTCATTTCTTTAGCCTAACCCAAATTTGCCAACAATAGCATCAACCATACTTTGGCCTATCTTGACATTAAAGTCACCCATAACCATCAGAACATCTTTTGACTTTGTACTTCTTATCAATAATTAAATTCCTTCGTAAAATATTTCAATTTCATTATCAAGAGCATCACATGTGGGTGCGTAAATTTGAATTATATTTAAATTTACTGGCCACCCCTTCATTTGCACCATTATTATACGAGCGAAATGATACACAACATTTGTTACCATATTTTTGATTTCTTTTGCTAAAATTACTGCAACACCATGTTTGTTTTTTTCTTCCATCATCGCCACTGTAGTACACATCATAATTGTCTATAAAACAGCTTCCGTGGTCTGGCCATCTCATTTCACTTACTCCCAAAATACAATTTCATGTTTCTGCATTTCCCATATTGTATTATTAATTTTACAGCTTTCGAACATACTCCTCACATTCCAAGTGCAAGTTTTATAGGATTTATTATTACTGAAACTCATCTTAGCTGAACGGGAGATTCTTCGCACCCCTGCCCCATTTAAGGGGCGCCCGTACTTGGGCCGTTGTTTTGATTTTCAGCCATGTTAGATAATTTGATTCATGCTTATTCATCTTAAACTTGGAAAAATAATAGTGATGGTTTTTTCGTTGCCTTCCACCGCTGTGCACATACCGTTTAAAAAAACTATCCATAAAAAAAACTATCTCTACATTACTATAACTTCTTCTTCTTTTTCGTGTTCTTGAGTTAGTGCTATTACGCACTTTTACTCTATAATGGCTGGGGGGTTTATCACTACCCCACACTAGACTTTAACTAGGCTAAGAAATCATATCATTAATTTGTCTTTTAGTTGATGACTGACCTTAAATCAGCATATCTTCCTGAGAGTCCAGAAGTGGACTTAAGTATTGTTAGGGCGGGGTTAAGTAGCGTATCAACTTTAATGAATAATTTTAGAGCTCTGTCTCTGATATATTTTTTCACTGAGTCAATCCTAAGATCTCTATGTATGTCTGTTGATCTAATATACCATGGAATCTTAAACAGCCTTCTTAAAGCCAGGTTTTGAGCTATTTGTAATTGCTTTACTATAACTATTCGAAATCAAAAATGTTTTTTTTTATTTAATTTAAATTGAATATAATTGAAATATATTATGTCAAATAATGTGACATTTTACAATTTTTTGTTATATAGAAGATTTTAGGCATAATAATTTGATAGAGAGCAATCAATGTATTGCCCCATGGGATTCTCTCTTCAAAACTTCTGGTGGAGCATACCGACAGGAAAACCACCATTCAGTAGTTTTTTGTTAAGAAATATACTGCAAGTAAAACTCTATTTGTAAAATTTAATAAATGTGGTAGTTCACAGGGCACCTTAACTTTTGCTACCATCTTAACAAACTCAACTTTGCTAATATAAAAGAATAGAAGAACGTGAGTCTTCTAATAATATTATTTGTGGTTTCCTGTGGTTCATCTGGGTCGGAGAAGAATATTAATGTGAGACTGTATAATAATATTATGTTTATTAATATTTTTATTAAATAATTTTATATCCATATTCAACCATCCAAATAAATGGTTTGAGTATAGAGTAAGTTAAACTTATGGTTTTTAATATTACAGATATTATTCGCATTCATTATATCACTTAATTAAATGTCGGTTTTGCTGCCGTAAGAAACTTTATTTTAACTTATAATCGCTGTTATTACAACGCAAACATATTATCTATCCATTAGATTTAG